CTTCTGTCTTCAGTCTCTCCTCAAGCATCTCTAGTCCACTCTGAATCCCACTTTTGCTGGGCCCAGGGTAAGTGGCTTCAAAGTAAACTTTGTGTATTGGCTTTTTAAATGGTTCTTTGCATCTCTAGCCATCTGTCTCTGGCAGAGAGCAATCCTGATGCTTTTCACAGCTGCATGTTATCTGTGTACTTTCCAGGCCCTGGTGCTCTAGGCTGGGGATGGTAGCTTAGGTTTTAGACCCCACACTTTTCAGAGGGATCCAACTGGCCACTTAAATAACCCTCTGGTGCTTCACCTGCTGCCTGTGGGTGCCAAGCCAGTCCTCTCATATCTCTACCAGTCACATTGTGCTGAAGCTATTCTTCTGTCTGACTGTGGTCATAAGGCTTCTCTCTCACTGTTGTTCAGTTGTTTGTTCTGCGTGATATCTCCACAATTTAGTTGCAATCCAGACTGGTCCTGAGAAAAGGGTAGTGTAACTTCCACTCACTCTGCCACTTTCTTGTATTTCTAATCTTGGGCAATTTAATTATGATGTGTCTTGGCGTGTTCCTCCTTGGGTCTAACTTCTTTGGGACTCTAAGCTTCTTGGACTTGCATGTTTATTTCCTTTGCTAGATTGGAGAAGTTTTCCTTCATTATTTTTACAAATAAGTTGTGATTTCTTGCTCTTCCTCTTCTTCTGGCACCCCTATGATTCAGATGTCAGAACATTTTAAGTTATCCCAGAGGTTTCTAAGCTTCTCATTTTTTTGAATCCTTGTTTGTGCCTTCTGTTCCAGTTGAATGTTTGTTTCTTCCTTCTATTCCAAATCATTTATGTGAGTCCCAGTTACTTTCCCTTCACCGTTGGTTCCCCATATATTTTTTTCTTTATTTCAATTTGTATAGCCTTCACTTCTTCCTTCAGTTTGTGACTGAACTCAACCATTTCTGTGAGTATCCTGATTACCAGTGTTTCAAACTCTGCCTCTAATAAATTGTCTGTCTCCTTGTTACTTAGTTATTTTTCTGGAGTTTTTATTTTAAATATTTTATTTATTTTTTTTTAGAGAGAGAAGAAAGGAAGGAGAAAGAGACGGAGAGAAAGATCAATGTGTGGTTGCTTCTAATGCATCCTCCATTGGGGACCTGGCCTACAATCCAGACATGTGCCCTGACTAGAAATTGAACCACCAATCTTTTGGTTCACAGCCCATGCACAGTCCACTGAGCTACACCAGCCAGGCTTATTTTTCTGGAGTTTTGATCTGTCCTTTCATTTTGCCCATATTTCTTTGTCTAGCACACCTGTTACATTGTAAGGGGTGAAGCCTTAGGTATTCTCCAGGGAGGGGCAACTCACATTGATGTGTCATGGTGCTGTATGTGGGAGAGGGGTCAGAGAGAGAACAATGTCACTTGCTTGGCTCTCTCCCCACTTGCAGTCACTTCCCCTGCTAACCACAAGCAACTTGGGTCCTTTTGGTGCTGATTCCAGGGTAGATTGGTTCGTGTACATTCTAGGACCTGTGGGTCCCTCCAACAGAGTCTCTTGTGAAACTGGGAGTTTCTTCTGCCACCACAACCCCCATAGGTTTTTAAAGCTAGAGGTTTTGAGGCTCTCTTTCCCCATGCTTGAACCCTGGGTTGTGCAGTCTATCTCATTTTCCAGTTGTTCTATCTCAAATGTGGGACTGCCTGGCCCATGGGCCACAACCTCACCCACTCAGTCCATCAGCTAGCACCTTGCCACATGTCCTTCCTGCCCTCGATGCCTGTCTCCACCCCATCCTACTAACCTGGATGAATGTTTCTTCTTTAACTCCTTGGTTGTTGGACTTTCATACAATTTGATTTTCTGGCAGTTGTGGTTATTTTTTGTTTTTAAATTGGTTGTTGGCCTTCTTTTGGTTATATGAGGAAGCAAAGCATATATACCTATGCCTCCACTTGGCCAGAAGTTGAAAACACAAGAAAGTTAATAAAATAATATTACTTGCATTTAAAAAATTTTCAGACCCAAATGTTTTAATATAAATAATGCCTTCTACAAAGCACTCAAAACTAGTTTTCCAAATTAGAATCTAAAATATAAAGAACCTAAAAATTTCAAGCATTTATAGTTGTGAAGCATCCTACTCAAATAGAATCCTAACCCTGACAATAGATATTATCTATTGCTGTGTAACAAATTACCCCCAAATTTACTGGCTTAAAACAACAACAAACACTTGTTATCTCTGGCAGTTTTTGTGGCAGAAGGACTTAGGCAGTTTAACTGTATTTTTGGCCCCAGGTCTCTTATGAATTGTAGTCAAAATGCTGGTGACACCCTGACCAGTGTGGCTCAGTGGGTTGCACGTTGTCCTGCAAAGCAAAAGTTCACTGATTTGATTCCTGGTAGGGGCACATGACTAGATTGTAGGCCAGGTCCCTGGGTGGGGGTGTATAGGAAGCGACCAATTGATGTTTCTCTTGCACACAAATGTTTCTCTCCTTCCATTCCCCTTTCTCTAAAATTAATTAATTAATTGATTAATAAAGCAAACTGGTGACAGCTTTGGGATCTGAGGGTTTGACAGACTGAAGGACCTATATGTATATTGGCTAACTCACATGGCTGCAAGTTGCTACAGGTTGTTGGTGTGAGGCCTCAGTTTCTCACTTTGAATGCTCTGCAAGGCTGCTTGAATGCCTCTGTGACGTGGTGCTGCCTTCTCAAATAGCAAATGTTTTGAGAGAGAGGAGTCAGGTGAATGCTACATCACTTTTAGGACCCAGCCTCAAAAGTCAGTTAGGATCACTTCTATTTATTCAAGGGGAGGAAAATTAAGCTTCACATTTTGAAAGAAAGAGTATCAAATAATTTGCAGAAATGTTTTAAAACCATCAGTGGTTATAGATAAATGTAAATTACTTTAGAGTTTTTATAGCTTATTTGAAGTATAATTTATAGATAGTAAGATTCACAAATCTTAAGTGTGCAGCTTAGTGCCTTTTTACATGAATTTATTCCTGTGCAACTATCACCTAGATTAAGTCAAAATATATAACATTTTCAACTCCTCAGGAAGTTTCATTACATGAATCAGAGAATGTGTTTGAACTACATGCTGTCCCAGTAACTCACTGACATCCAGGAGCCTGAGCCACCCTGCCAGAGACCCCTAACTAAGTTTGGCACCAAGGGAGAGAATGTTCATCTTCCTCCTTCCAGAAACAGGTGAACTCTTAAGGGCTGAAACTGGTGTTAAGTGTACAGCTACACATAGTGGTACTACTCTGGTCGAGCTCCAGCCAGAGAGACAACCAGAGACAAGACAACCAGAAATGACTATACAGGTGTGGACATTGGGAAGATACTTTCTTGAGGCCTCACCACATTACCTTGGGAAGGGAGTTCTGGTGCAAGTTTGAGGCTCAAGCTGGTGGAATCTCAGTATTAATGGGCACATAACTCCATCTGTAACCACCTGCTGGTGAGGGTCCAGGATATTTGGGAGGTGCCAGAATTGGAAAGAATTTAAACTGCACCTTTTGAATGGCATCTAGTCCATACTGGACATGCACTAAATGGAAGCTTTCCCACTTTCTCAGGGGTTCTGAAGGCTGGTCTCTGTGCATTGTGAGGCCTGCTTGTATTCTGATGGCTGCACAAAAATCCTGTGTCAGGTAGGTTGCCAGGAAAAGATGACCTAGGACATTGCTTCAAGGCTTATTGCCTGGCCACTAAGTCCTGCATTAGCTTAGCTGAAAAGGTGACACCCAGGTACAACTGCAGGGAGTATGTGGACACTGCAGATCAGGTTAGCTTGTGGCTTTGAACAGAAAGAACATTTTCACATGGGGCTGGGCACCATGGAAGTGGAAAGTGTGTTGAGTCTCTTCATATTGGGAGAGTGGGGATATGGGGACAGGTGGGGAGGGTGCTGGGAGTCAACTCTAGAAGCAAAGGTCTAGGGACTGTTGGCCTGAGCCTCAGCTCTCAGTCTGGAATTTATCCTTCTCTGTCTGCTTGATATACGCTCCCAGACTGCTCCCCCCATCTGAGAGCTCACTATACCACAGGCCAGAGCCCTCTTCTTCCTGGTTGGGGTCATGGACCCTAGTCTAGCTCAGTTGCCCTAGAACTTCCTTCCACCTCCACTGGGAGTCAGTTTTTTCCCCCTACAAACCCCAGGAGAGATGCTTCTCTACTTTTGGGAAGACCTTTGTTCCACTGCACTGCATACATCTGGGAAAATGTTTTACTTCCAGTTATGGGCTGAATTGTGTTTCCTAAAATCCATCTGTTGGAGTCCTAGCTCCCAGCACCTCAGAATGTGACTGTATTTGGATATAGGGTAATTAAATTAAAATGAGGTCACTAGGGTGGGCTCTAATCCAATATGATTGTTGTTCTTATAAGAAGAAGACATTAGGACAAAGACACATACAAAGGGAGAATTATATAAGGACATAGGGAGAAGATAGCCATCTACAAGTCAAGGAGAGAGGCCTCATGAGAAACCAACTTTGCCCTCACCTTGACCTTGAACTTCTAAATTCCTGTTGCTTAACAGGCTGTGGTGTTCGTTTATAGCAGCCCACACTGACTGACAAGCTCCCTCTGAAGGCCTGCATGTGCCACACAACAGGAGAAGAGTCTGTGAGTAAAGACACCCTGCTCTTTCCCCATCTCCTGTGCTGCCCCACTCAGTGTCCCATCCCTGCCTTTCTCTTGGGACAGTGTCCTTTCCAGGCCCTGTTCCCTTGCCCAAGGAGCCAAATGACTGACCCCAAGGGAAAGGATGAGTACTAAGGTACGAGAGGGGAAGCGGGGTATTAGGATACAGGAGGTGAATGAATCTTTTATTTGCTTTTGCTTTGTTTTTCAGGCTTGGTTGGAGCAAGGGGGTGGGAGTTGAAGGACAAGGAAGCCAAGGAGAAGGATCCTCTGAGAGCTGGTGGGGCTGGGTTAGGGGAGGCATGGAAATCAGGGACTGAGGCAGACAGCAGGATCAGTGGGGCTCAGTGGGTCACTGCAGGGCCTGCCATTGCACCCTGAGCACAGACAGCAGTGAGAGCCAAGTCAGTGTAGGCATGACAGCCATGCCAGGCCTGGAAGAGCCCGCAGCCTGTAGAGGCTGGCGTGGAAATGGGGTCTGAGGAAGAGCAGCTGTGGGATCAGGAGGAAGTGTGAGCCTCTGGATCTCATTGATCCAGTCAGAGAAGTAGGTGACACTGGTGAACACACTGGGGTAGATGGGGTGCCGGCAGTCCAAGCCCCAGCTGGCCAGCCCTACTAGAACCCAGGCATTGAAGACATCACAAACGAGGGGGCTCCCAGAATCACCCTAAGTAAGAGAAAAGAGTTAATGAGAAGACAGAATCTGACACACCAAGTGGACAGGTGGGGCTTGTAAGTCTCTACTATCCAGGCCATACTTGTGGCCCACTGTGAAAGTCCAGATACCAGCGTCCCACTGCAAACCTCATCAAAGTCACCCTGGTGGGCACTGGTATCACAGTTCAGAGAGCTTCTGATCGACCCTCAGGAAGATCCTGGATCTACATCTATCAGTACATAGACCCCACTCTCTCCCCCTGTACCCAGGGAGGGCCCAGTGGCTCAGAGCAAAGCAATGCCCAAGGCCATTTGGGGACAGCTACATGGACAAGGCTCAGGAGGGCTGGCCTGTGAGAATACCTGGCCATCAAAAGCCTCTAATGATCCCCATCTCCTGCCACACACTGAGCTGCAGAAGTCTATCCCCACCTGGGTCCTCTTCCTTTTACAATTATTTAGGCCTTTGGTTTGCTCTCAGGTTCTTTAGAAAATGCCCAGGTGGAAGCATGGTGGAGGCAGCCTGCATTGTTAGGGGAATGAGCAGGGATCCTCAGAAAGATCCTGGAGGTAACTGAAGTCCTGAGATGCTATCTTGCAAGGACCACCAAGTTGGAAGTCCCCTTACTTCATTGACCAAATGGAGGGACTCATCCTTGGGGGGTACAGAAGCAGGGTACCCACCCATCCAACCTTCATGGGGAACACCCAAGACAGCTTCCACACTTGGAAGCACAGAGGTGAGAAGACAAGGCCCCTCCCTCATTGTGCTTTATAAACAAGCTAATTAGCCCACCATGGTCAGATGTGACATGTGGGAAAAAGCCATGGAAGGGATAGGGTCAGGGAGGATATCTCATGGTGATGGCATAAGGCTTTCCTGAGCTGAGACTCCAAACAGGAAACAACTTACCTTTCTGATTCAGGAGCAGAGGGGCTCGACAGGTGGAGGGGAAGAAGAGCAGTGAGGGGACCATGCAGGGAACAAGGGGAGCAGAGAGGCTGTGGTCACAGGGACTTATGGCTAGGGGTTTGGGTTTTCCCCTTATGGAAAACTGTACTAAGGGGGTGGGGGTGAAGGGTGACCTGACCTGTCTAAGTGGCTCACTCTGGTGCACTGTGGAGAATGGACAGTCCTGAGCAAGAATTAAAGAGGGAAGACCAGTCAGGAAGTGGTCACAGGAGAGAGATGAGAGATTACTGATAGGGAGTGGCCAGGATGCTGAGGAACAGTCAGACTTGGGATAATATTTTGAAGGAGGAGCCAATGGGACCTGTGAAATCTGAGCTTTCAACACCAACCAGGCAAAAAGCACAGAGAGAAAAGGGGGCAGGCTCAGCATGGAGCCCTTAGATCTCCAACATTTCATGGTGGCCGGGAAGGGGACCAAGAGCAGAGTGGAGCAGCTGTGGAGTTTGAGGCCCCAGAAATGGGAGGGAGACCTCCTGATGTGCTGAGCCCGCAAAAGACTCAGGACAACCTTGCTCTGCAAGACTGAAGCTGGTGAGGATGTTGGCCACATGGTTTTGGTGGCATGGTGGGGACACACTTGGGTGGAGTGGTCAGAGAGATTCAGTGCTGTCAGAGCAGTCTTTTTGGAAGAGGGGCAGAAAAACTGGGCAGTAGCAGAAGGAGATTGTTGCTGAGAGTTTACGCAGCAGTCATGAAAGGGAGAAACAGAGGACAAGGAGCAGGAGATCCTCTGAGTGCCCAGTGCTCCAGGAGGGGTCAGCTAGACATGAGGCACAGGAGAGATGCAGAGACTTATGGCTGGGGGTGATGATGAACAGACACTGGTCAGACTGCTCCAGTGTTCTTGGTGAAATAAGAAGCAAGCTTTTCAGCTGACAGGGAGGGTTTAGAAAGGGTGGCTTGAAGGAGAGAAAAGGGTTTATGTTGTGGCTGTCAAAGAGTGACAACCCCCGCAAAATGCACATCCTCATCCCTGGAACCTATGATTTTGTTACCTTTTGTGGCAAAAGACCGTTTGCAGTTTCAAGATGAGGATCTTGAAATAGGGAGATTATCATGGATCATCTGGGAGAGTCCAGTGTAATCCCAAGAGTCCCCATGAGGAAAGAGGGAGGAAGGTCGTAGTCAGAGAAGGTGATGGGATGACAGAAGCAGAGGCTAGAGTGATGCCTTTCAAGAACAGAGGAAGGAACCAAGAGCCAAGGAATGTAGGCAGCCTCTAGAAGCCTGTAAAAGCAAGGAAACATTCTCCCCTAGAGGCTCCAAAGGAAACATGCCCTTCCCATATCTTGATTTTTTACTTTGAACATCCAGAAATGTAAAATAATACATGTCTGTTGTTTTAACCACTCTGTTTATCTGTCACAACAGCTTCAAGAAACTCATACATGGGGACAGTGAGGTTGCACCAGCATTGCCACAGCTCTTCTCCTCAGTGGTCCCCAGTTGGAGTGTCCTTGACCTTCCTGACAGTATATACACTCCCAGCTGTTTGAGGCCAGGGGAAGGCCTGGTCCCTGGCTGGGGCAGTGGTTCTTGTTCACCCCAGGCCTCAGTGATTCATGTAGATGAACTATGTGGTTGCTGAAATGACAGTGGATTCTGGGCCAGTCTAGGAGAGATGGCAAAAGCTCCAACAGCCTTCTGGCTCCAGGGGGGCTCTCAGAAGGCAGAAAAAACATCAGCATTCACATATCCCATGCAAAGTGAGCTGTGGGAAGCAAAGGGTCGCTGGGAAGCAAAGGATCACTCTGGACTCAGTGCCAGACTGGGAAGCATAGGTTCGCTGGTTCAATTTCCAGTCAAAGCACATGTCTGGGTTGTGGGCCAGGCCCCCAGTAAGGGGTGCATAAGAGGCACTACACATTGATGTTTCTCTCCCTCTCTTTCTTCCTCCCTTTCCTCTCTCTAAAAATAAATAAAATGTTAAAGAAAAAAAGTAGGAATAGGTATATAGTTATGGGGATAAGTACAGTATAGGGGATGAAATAGCCAAAAAACCTATGCATAACCCATGGACATGAACAATGGTGTCTGGATTGCCTGAGGGAGTGGGGGTGCTGGGTTGAGTGGGGCAAAGGAGAAAAAATTAGGACAACTGTAATAGCATAATCAATAAAAAAGCCACAAATGATGGCCAAGAGAAATAAAGTCCACTTATAGAAAATTCACAATCTAATCTAAGGTGTTAAAAGTGAAGATAGTGGTTCCCTAGGGTGTTAGTGAGTGGAAGGGGCATTAATGGGGAATCTGTGGAGTTGGTGACACGTGGCAGTATGTGAACATTCATTAAACTATGTACTTAGTAATTACATTCTCAATTATATATTCTTTTGAATGTATACTTCAATCAAAAGTTTAAAATATACCCTGACTGGTGTGGCTCAGTGTGTTGAGTGCCAGATTGTGAACCAAAGGGTAATCACTTCAATTCCCAATCAGGACACATGCCTGGGTTGCAGGCCAGTTCCTCAGTTAAGGGTATGTGAGAGGCAACCACACATTGATGTTTTTCTCCTTCTTTTTCTCCCTCCCTTCTTCTCTTTCTAAAAATAAATAAATAAAATCTTTTTTTTTTTTAGTTTAAAATATGCCTAAAAATAGATGCTGTTTGTGGGTCCTTCCAGCAGACACAGTCATGGGATATGGGCTTAGGAAGGGACTAGCCTGGGGAACACTGCTGAGAGTTTGAGCCTAGGAAAGACACGCAAAGGGAAGGAACAGGTAGTCCTAGGTGTCTCACAAAGGGAGTAGAAGCAACACAGGCTCCCCCTGGGGAAACTGAGGCCCTGAGCTCAGGCAAGGGAAGAACAGTAATGGTCTCACTCACTTGGCAGATGGCTTTTCCAGTCAAGAAGTCCCCAGAACACAGCATCTCCTCATGCACAGGGTAGGTCTTGCCTTTGCCAAGTCTTTGTTCATATAACATATTACAGAGCTTGTTCTCGATAAGATTCACCTTGCCCTCCTGGAGACTGAAGGGTGGGAGTAGATGCTCTGTGAGGATAAGAAGATCCATGAAGGGTGCTGTAGCCTAGCTGAGGAGGCCAGGTTACTCTGAACCCCACTCTCTCTTACTGCTCACCACTGCCCCTACACATGGGCTTTTCTCAGCACAATTGAGCTTTCGACATGGCTTCTACCACCCTCAGTTAGCTTATCCCCTGTTTCTCAAACATTTTCAAACTCCTCCTATTCTCCACCTCTCTCATAACATTAGATTATACCTCTTCTATTCCACACACACAAAAAAAGGGCAAATCCCAGGGACACACGCCATTCACTGGGGCCTAGCAACCATTCATCAACCCATTTACACTTTTCATAACCATTCTATCCATTCTCCATTTGCCTATCATTAACTTTCCCACCTTCCCATCTATTAATTCCTCCATCCATCTACCCATATTTGCTCAGACCCCCACTTTCCACTCATCCTTCCCTCCATTTTTCCATCAACCACCTTTTCATCCATCCCTCTATTACTCTCCTGTCCATTTCCATCTACATCTATCAATATATCTACCCTCTCCATTTATCTGCCTGCCATTTATCCACCCACTCACCCATCTATTTTCCTTCTACTCACCCATCCTCTCACCTACACCCCCAGTCCTTTCATCCAGCCATTCATCTATTTATCTATCTTTGTGGTGGTCATCTTTTAGGCACTAATGATACAGGGGAATCTTTTCATTGGAGGAGATAGGGTAAGTAATGTAAATATAATTATTTTACGTCTAATAAGTAGTGTGAAGGAAATAAAACAGGAAGATGTGATAGTAGGAATTGTCTATTATAGCTCACAATCAAGTAAATCTCCTCAGAGGAGGAGCTGAGTTGTAAATGTAATGTAGAAATGAGTCATGCAAAGATTATCAGCAGAGATGAGAGTCAAGGACCAGACCCTAAGATGAGGATGACCTTGGCATGTTCAAGGCAGGAAAGAGACCTGGTAACTGGAATAGCATGCATGAGGGATACAGTAGGAAATAAAAGAGAGGGATTGGGGCCAACATCATGCAGGGGCTGATAGCTAAGGTATAGAGTTGGGACTGTTTACTAAGCATAAATGGCAATGCACTTAGGGTACTGAGTGGGGAAGTGGCATGACTCCTTTTAACTCAAACAGACAGCTGTGTGGAAACTAAAGCAGAGAACACTGGGTGGGAGCTGGGAGACCATTCTAGAGGTCCAGGACAGAAATGATGTTCTATTGAGCCAGGGTGACAGTGGTAAAGTACCTACCACGTGCCAGGCCCTGTGGCACAGACTGTCATATTTAAATGAGTAAGATGCTATCGCTGCCTTCAAGGAAGAACCAGCTTCTGTGTGTGTGCATGTGTGTATATGTGTGTGACAGAGAGAGAGAGAGAGAATAAATATGTTGGTGCCCTGGTTATCCTATGATTAGGAGGAGTTCCTGAAACTTAGTAGGCAAGGGCCAGAGATTCTGGCATCTCCCACCCAATGAGGACATGGTCTGTCCAAAATGCCTGTACCGCCTCTATTGAGAAACACCATACCAAACTATGAGCCTATGAATAATTACAAATATATGATATTTCTTCCCTGTATACCATGAGAACTTCTCCAAACCATTAACACTCCTTTCTTTAGTAAACACGCCTGTCCATAAGTCTTTACCTACATTTTTCCCTTCAACCTAAAAAATAACAAATGTTTTTTCTGTGTTATTCAGTTCACCTAAAAGCCCATAAAGTAGACAATTTACCAAAATGAGGTTTTAACTTGATCATTTAGGCTCAGAGGTTAGAAGCCATAAATATGTTTTCTTTTCACTTTTCCCAAGCATCTTCTCTAGCAATGGGAAATCAGGGTGTTGGCAGTGGCCTGGAATGGGCCAGGGCCCAAGCATGACGTGTAAGTAGTATCAAGTCATCTCAGATCCATGGATGATTAAAACCTTGGAACTATGAAGACTCTAAGACTCCAGATTCTTGATTTCAAAAGTGAAAGTCCCAGACTTTCACACTCTTCAACTTAGGGAACTCTGATGCTTTAGAATCACACACATTTCAGAACTAAGACTTAGAATGGTCCAGTCATCTGGAAATGAGGCATAAAGGGCCAAAGACCAGTGGTCTCTTTGCATGGGAACCTTTCAGTCTGTTATTCCTCCCTCCTTCCTGCCCCTCCCTCCCCACTGCTCCCCTCACTCCCCCTCCCTGCTCTCACCCACCCACCTCTCCCACACCCCCTCACTGTCCTCGCTGAGCATCCCCCAACCAGTTATCCAGCAGGATGAGTAACTGGGCAGCTGCACTCCAGGGATTGGGAGGCAGGCAGGACTAATGTAGGAGGTGAAGTTCACAGGCAGGTGCAGCTGCAACATGGCTATGTCACTCCCAAAGGGGTGGAACTTCTCAAAGTCTGGGTGCATAATAATCCGGTTCACAGCCATCTTTTGTGTGTGCTGAGTGTGCTGGTACAGCTGGGTGGTTCCCAACAGAATCTGGTAGTCCTCTGGGAAATGGGATTTGCTGAAGGAAGAAAGGGCCACCGTCAGCATCATCTCTGAGTGTTTGGGCCAGCTCTCTCTCCCTGCATCCCTGTCTAACTGTCCACACCCTTGTGGGCTTCCTGCTCCTCCTGGTGCAGGCAGCTTTTATCTTCCCTTTCTAACTGTCAGGGAAGTTAGGCCAAATGATGGTCCACTCACAACCTCAGAACACACAGCTTCCCCATCATACCCTAGAATTAAAGGAACAGAGATACCTAATGCTAGAGGGGCCCTTGGTGGGGCCATCACATAAGGGTCTCTGGATTGTACACAAGAGGAGGTGTACATCCCTAAGCTTTAACTGGACCCTTCCTAAGGCTCCTGCCACATGGTTCCAACACTTCTCCTGCCTCTCCTTTCTTCAAACACCTTCTTGCTCAAGGGCTGCTTATTAGCTTGGTTATAAGCATTCACGAAAGATGTGTTCAATGAGCAAATGAGTGCAGGAAACAAAACCTCACCTTGATCTCTGAACATGTGTGATAAAAATTCCCACCTTCCTGACTATTTGCATGGCTCATCCACCTGGAAAGCCTTTCCCTTTACTTCCCAGACCCAAAACTCTTCTTTTTGGGCAAGCCCTTTCTGCTCCATACCAACTATATTTCCATACCTCCCTCCTTCTCCTGTGGGGTTGGCCCTTCTCACTTCATGTTGGACTTTTTTTCCTGACAGAATGGAAGCATAGCAAAGTAGGGTCTTGCCAATCCCTATGCCACAGAGGGGCTCACATGAAGTGTGGCACAGAGAAGGTGCCAACAGGACTCTGGACTTTCAAAGCCAGTTGCTACATGAACCCCAACAGCCTGACCAAGGCTGTGATGTCTCTTCTTCCTTGGGCTTATTCCTTGCCTATTCAGAAGTTAGACATTGAGCCAGCCCTGGAGGAGCTGAAGGAGTTAAGACTCCCAAGTAGCCATGTCAGTCTCTAGGGTCACCCACACAGCCTTGAACCACATCTTCTCCCAAGCATGCAGTGTTGCTGAAGTGATGAGAATTGCTCAGTTTCTGCCTGTCATTGCAGCCCCAGGTGCCTACCTGTATTCTGACACTCAGGAATATGAGGACACTAAGGAGAAGCTGTGGTCTGAGGTGGCAAAGAGCCAGTGCATGGCAGCTTGTATGGACACTGCCTATATCCTGGGGGACAGGCACGGAGGCTAGGATGAAGGATGAGGAGGATATGGGCAGGAGAGTGGAGAAAAGATTTCCAGGTTGAGGGGATGCAGGTTGAAGGAGGGAATGACATGTGTTTGAAGGCCATGGGCTGCTTTAGAGCAAAGCCCAGAGGAGCTGACATGGTACACTCATTACCCCTTTTTTCCTCTTTCCCTGCATCTTCCTCCCCTACCAGCCCATCTTCTGGAGCCCCAGGGAGGAGGACTCACTTGAGAAAGCAGTGGGCAGTGGAAACCAGCCAGAAGGAGTTGATGAGGACAGCTCCGCAGATGTGCAAGTTTCGGTAGAGCAGGCTGGCCTGCCATGGCCACTGGCCAGCCACCACATCCTGGCCACCATAGATCTTCCCCATCACCTTGGGCTTCCCACACACTGTGGAGACAACCCCTGGCCTATGTTAGAGACATCAGCTGTATCCCAAATGCCACTACCAGGGAGGCCCTTCTCCACCTCATAGATGGGGAAAGGAAAACCAAAGTTCAAGTGGCTTGGCCAAAATCATAGGACTACCTAGACTTTGACTTCACTGGCTGCTGCCAAAGACTGGACAGCAGAGCATAACTGAGCAAGTCCCATAGGGTGGGGCAAGAGGAAACAAGGGTGGCCACAGGAACTCACAATAGTATCTCCTAGAAGACAAATATCCTTGAGTGGGTCTTCCAAAGGCTGGGCACATCAAAGGCATTATTTTCCTCAACAGCACATGCTACGCCTACTCTGAAGATCAAAGAACTAAAGGCCTCAGAGAGTAACAATGTGCCTTGCTTAAGATTGTGACTTCTAAGTATCTGCCCTACCACCTTACTCCAGTATCTTAGGCAGACAGGTTCACAGGTAGAAGTCTGGTGCTATGTGACTTGGGGAAATTTGCTCCCCATGTTTGACTCAAGATTCTACATTTCTAAAAGAAGAGGGGTGGTACCAGTGGAGCTCCTAAATTTATAAAACAAATACTGAGAGATATAAAGTAGGAGATTGCCAGTAATACTGAAATTCCAGGGGAATTTAACACCCACTGATACCAATGGATACATTATCCAGACAGAAAATCAACAAGGAAAGAGCAGCTTTAAATGACACATTAGACCATATCCCTTTAATTGATATTTTGGGGCAATTTCAATACAAAGCAGCAGAATATATATTATTTTCAAGCACACATGTAATATCTTATAGGTAGACCACAAAAAGAGTCTGAATGAATTTAAAAAGATTTAAATTATATCAAGCACCTTCTCCAACCACAAGGGTATAAAACTACAAAGTAATTATAAGAAGAAAATTGAAAAATAAACACATGGAGGCTAAATAAAATATTACTAAACAGTGTATGGGTTAAAAATGAGATCAAGAAAGAAATCAAAAGATAACTTGACACAAAAAAAAGTGAAAACACAATGACCCAAAGTATATGAGACACAGCAAAAGCAGTTGTAAGAAAGAAATTCATAGCAACGTGGGTCTACCTCAGGAAACAAGAAAAAGGTAAAATAAACAATCTAACTTTACACCTAAAGAAACTAGAATAAGAACAACAAAGTTCAACATGAGTAGAAGGAAGAAAATAATAAGTCAGAGCATAAATAAATAAAACAGACTTTAAAAAAATACAAAACATCAATGAAACTAAGAACTGGTTCTCTGAAAAGACAACCAAAATTGACAAAGCTTTAAACCAGACTCATAAAAAAAGCAATAGAGAGAGGACCAAAAAAAATCAGAAATGAAGAAGAAGTGACAAATGACACGACAGAAATACAAAGGATTTTAAGAACATACTATAAACAATTATAGGCCAACACTTTGGACAATCCAGAAGAAATGAATAAATTCCTAGAAACCTACAATCTTCCAAGATTGAATCAAGAAGAAACAGAATATCTGAAGTGATGAATCAAAATAATAATTAAAAAATACAAACAAACATAATTCTCAACCAGATGGCTTCACTGGTAAATTTTATCAAACATTCAAAGAGGAATTAACACTTATCTTTCTCAACAATTACAAAATTTCAAGAGGCAAGAAGGCTCCCAACCTCATTTTACAATAATTACCTTGGCCAGAATTACCTTGAATCCCAAACCAAAGACATTGCGAAAAGAGAAAATTGTAAGCCAATATTCCTGATAAACACAGATGCAAAAAATCTCAACAAAATATTAGTAAACTGGATTCAGCAATAAATCAAAAAGATCATATAGTATGACCAAGTAAGATGTATTCCTGGGTTAACTATATGCAAATCAACTAATGTGATACAACACATAAACAAAATAAAGGATAAAAATTGTATGAACATATCAATAGGTTCAGAAAAAGCATTTGACAAAACCCAGCATCTGCATATGTTAGAAAGAGTTAGAATACAGAAAACATACCTCAATATAGAAAGGGCCATATGTGACAAATACACAGCTAACATCATAGTCAACAGTGAAAAACAAAAAGAATTTTCCTGGAGATCAGAAACAAGACAAGGATGTCCTCTCTCACCACGTTTATTCAACATAAAAGTGGAAGTTCAAGCAACAGCAATCAAACAAGAAAAAGAACTAAAGGGCATCAAAATTGGAAAGGAAGAAGTAAAACACTAATCATTTGCAGGTGAGGTAATACTATGTGGAGAGAACCCTAAATATTCCACCAAAAACTATTGAATCAAGTAGCAGTATACAAAATTAAAATTCAGAAATTGGTTGCATTTAAAAATATATATTTTATTGATTATGATATTATAGTTGTCCCATTCCCCCCTTTATTTCCCTCCACTTTATACCCTCTCCCACCTGTATTTCCCACCCCCTCCCCAACCTTAGTTCATATCCATGGGCCGTACATATAAGTTCTTTAGCTTCTACATTTCCTTTACTATGCTTATCCTCCCCCTGTCTATTTTGTGCCTACTATTTATGCTTCTTATTCCCTGTACATTTCCCCCCATTCTCCCCTCCATTTCTCATTGATAACCCTCTAAGTGATCTCCATTTATGTGATTCTGTTCCTGTTCTAGCTGTTTGCTTAGTTGTTGTTGTTTTTTAGGTTTGGTTGTTTATAGTTGTAAGTTTGTCATTTTACTGTTCATAGTTTTGATATTCTTTTTCTTAGATAAGTCCCTTTAACATTTTATATAATAAGGGCTTGGTGATTATGAACTCCTCTAATTTGACCTTATCTAGGAAGAACTTTATTTACCCTTCCAATCTAAATGATAGCTTTGCTAGATAGAGTAATCTTGAATGTAGGTCCTTGCCTTTCATGACTTGGAAGACTTCTTTTGAACCTCTTCTTGTCTGTAAGGTCTGTTTTGAGAAATCAGCTGCTAGTTTTATGGAAACTTCTTTGTAGGTAACTGTCTCCTTTTTTCTTGCTGTTTTTAAAATTCTCTCCTTACCTTGAATCTTGGATAATGTATTTATGATGTGCCTTGGTGTGTGCTTCCTTGGGTCCAACTTGTTTGGGACTCTCAGCCTCCCGGACTTCCTGGAAGTCTATTTCCTTTGCAAGATTGGGGAAGTCCTCCTTTATTATTTCTTCAAATAACTTTTAAATTTCTTGTTCTTCCTCTTCTCCTTCTGGCTCCCCTATGATTTGGATGTTAAAACATTTAAAGTTGTCCCAGAGATTTCTAAGCTTCTGCTCATTTTTTTTTTGAGTTCTTATTTCTTCATTATGCTGTGATTGAATGTTTATTTCTTCCTTCTGGTCCAAACTGTTATTTGAGTCCCATTTTTTTCCATCACTGTTGGACTCCTGTACATTTTCCTTTATTTTACTTTTCACAGCTTTCACTTTTTCCTCTATTTTGTGGCCATACTCAACCATTTCTGTGAGCATCCTGATTACCAGTGTTTTGAACTGTGCATCTGATAGATTAGATACCTCTTCATTGCTTAGTTGTAGATTTTCTGGTTCTTTGATCTGTTCTTCCATTTGGACCATTTTTTTTTTGTCTCAATGCACCTGTAATGTAGTAAGGGGCAAAGCCTTAGGTATTCACCAGGGTAGGGTAATCCTCATTGCTGTGTTGTGGCACTGTATACAGAGAAGGGGTCAGGGAGGAAACAATGCTGCTTGTTCACCTGCTTGTTCTCTCCTGGCTTTCAGTCACTCCTCTACTAGCCACAAGCAAATTGGGCCCTTCTGGTGTTGATTCCTGGGTGGGTGGGTTTGTGTACACTCTAGGATCCTGTGGGTCTCTCCAACTAATGGTCTTGTGAGGCTGGGAGTTTCTCCTGCTGTCTCAACCTCTACAGGATTTTTTTCAGTCAGATGCTTTGAGGCTTTATTTCCCCACACTGGAACCCTATGCTGTACAATTTGTATCACTCCCCAGTTGTTATTTCCAGTTTATCCACACACAAATGTGGGACTGTCTCCTCCCCCAGCTGCCACCTTCCTATGAGTCCTCTCCACTCAACTGCCCGTCTATGCCCCTCCTACCAGTCTGGATGAATGTTTCTCCTTTATCTCCTTGCTTGTCAGACTTCCGTACAATTCAGTTTTCTGTCAGTTATGGTTGTTTTTGTTTTTTAATTTGCTGTTGTCCTTATTTTGGTTGTTCTAGGAGGCACAGTGTATCTATGCCTCCATTTGGCTGAGGTCAGGTGCTTTCTTGGTTGCATTTTTATATACCAATAACAAACTACCAGAAAGATAAACTAAGAAAAGAACCCCTTTAAAATTGCATCACAGATACCTAGGAATAAATCTAACCAAGGAGGAAAAAGCCCCATACTCAGAAAATTATAAGACATTGAATAAAGAAATCAAAGAATATACAAATAAATGTAAGCATATACTGTGCTCATGGATAGAAAGAATTAACATGTCTGTGCTACACAAAACATTCTATAGACTCAATGCAATTCCTATCAAAATATCAATGGCACTTCTTACAGAGCTAGAACAAATAATTCTAAAATTTAGATGGAACTACAAAAGACCCTGCATAGCCACAGAAAACCTGTGGAAGAAGAACAAAGTTGGATGTATCAATCTACCTAATATCAAACTATACTACTAAGGCTATAGTAATCACACTGTATGGTATTAGCATAAGAAGAGATATATAGATCAATAAATAGAATAGAAAGTGCAAAAATAAAGCCACACCCATATAGTCAATTAATCTCAAAAAGAAGGCAAGAATATACAATGGGGTAAAGACAGTGTATTTAAGAAATGGTCTTAGAAAAACTGGACAGCTGCATGCAAAAGAAAGAAAGAACGAAACTAGACCGCCTTCTTACACCATATACAAGAATAAACTCAGATGAGAGGCAAGATGGCTGAGGAGTAAATGGAAGCCCCACTAACCACCTCCCAGGACCAATCTGAAATTACAACTAAATTGTGGAGAAATCACCACAAACAAACAAGTAAAGAATAGCAAGAGAGAAACCTTATAACCTCAGACAGACAAGAATTATCTTCAGCAGTAACTGACTGGTAAGGGGTGCAGTGGAGATTCGAGAGGGCTGGCTGGGCACCCACAAGAAACAGCAATGGAGAAATGATTAAGCAATTGGTTGAATCCCCCTGAGAACTGTGGGGTCTAAATTCAAAGCTGGGATCCCTGGCTACAGCACAGGATTCAAAAAAGTACATAGGTAACAACCAGTGGCAAAAAATGTCAGGGTTGCTCTATGCCAGAGAAGGGTGGCTAGAGGTGCAAAGACCCATTTAAAGCACCAACAAAAAATTTCATTTGCATCCACTCACCTGGGGCTCTGCTAAAAGTGGCAGCAGAGTGAACTGAAGACACCTGAGGAGAGACTGGAGACAGAACCTGGGGAAGAGTTCTGAGAGAGTAGCTGCTGGGATCGCATTGCTAAGTCATACCCTATACAGCCAAAGCCATCTTGCTCGGGCAGACAATTCCATTGCGAGCAGCAGCAACCTGAGGGGAAACATCAGCCCCACTCCTAGGAGAGATTCTACCCCAGTTCTATGGTGCTTAAACCTCACTGCAGAGTAAGGAGTGATTAGAATAAGAACTGAAAGAGAGAGCCACAGATAGTAGATACCTAGCAAGTGGGGTGCAGAGTGGACTAGAGATGCTTGAGGAGAGACTGAAGACAGAAGCTTTGGAGAAAGAACTTGGAGAGGAGCCTCCAGGATCCCAGTGCTAAGTCATTTCCCATACTACAGCAGCCATCCTGCTCAGGAAGCTTACTCCCCTCTGAGTGACAGCAACTTGAGGGGAAACAAGAACCCTGACCCCAGAGTTCTGCCCCATGCAGCAGTCAGTCTTAAGCCTGACTGCTGAGTGCAGAGTGACTAGATTAATAACTGAATGAAAAAGCCACAGTTAGTAGATCCCTGGCAGTCTAGGAGCAGGCTGCCTAAGGTCAGATGGGGTCAACATCCCACATCAAAAGGAGGCGGATTCAGAAAGGAAAAACAGTGGAAAATACTAGAGGCTACTGAGATGAAATCCACTGTGGTTTTCTCCATGATTAGCGATATTTTCTTGCTGCATAGTTTTTTAACATTAATTTCTTGTCCAATAAGCTTGTGCATATTAAGTTACTAGATTTTATATTATAGTTTATTTCTCTTTCTTATAATAGTCTTAATGTCTTTACACCCTTATTAATACTGGTTAATTTGCTGTTGATAGTGGAATTGCAGGGGGTGGCGGGGCAGATATTTTTGCAGATGTGGGTTTGTTCCCTGGTCTTTGTGGTGTTGTTCTGGCAGCACCTGCACAATGGCATATAAGACATGGTGGGTGGAGATACCCTCAGTCAAGCAGCTGGAGGGAAGGACCCACCAAAGAAAGACCCAACAACAATAAAAACACAATTACATCCAGAGAGCCAACACAAATGGCATAAAGGGCATCCTAACAGTATCAAGTTCAGGACATCAAGGAGACTGCACCACTGATCTCACCCACTGATCTCACTGATTTGTATGGTCTCCTACCATACAAATTCACACCACAGACTCAGGGAGTCAAGTCAGATCAATGTAAGAAGCACAGCCAAACAAGAAGAGTCTCACAAATAATGTGAAGACAAAGAAACAATCCCCAAATGAAAGGAAAGGAGGAGGCCTCAAAAAGAATGCTAAATGAGATACAGGTAA